CTCAAATAAAACACCAACTTCTAGGAATAACTAAACAGCCACTTCTTCGATCTGCTCCGTCTCCACAGGGGTGCACGCTCAACGACCGCTGGATCAAAAAGTGGTGGTGTCCTCGGCATCCTACGGCTGGGGGTCTGAAAATGTTTCGGTTTACACAACCGTGAGACGAATCTCAGCGAGTATGACCCCCCTAAACCTAGGCTAGGCTAACATGCAATCGCCTGACCAACAGCACAAAACAACGTAACCAACCAATTTATAAATAAACTCCGACCTAGGCCCCCTCGACCCGCATCTCTTACCCGGCTGACCCGCGGGTTATTGACAATCATGATTTAAATCAAGTCACATACGCGAGCACTCGGTTCACGCGTACGTCAAACGTATGCTCATACTTAATAATGGTAATAACGCGTGTCAATCACCGAGTCCCGCACACCCGCAAACCGGCCCATGCATTCTTATGTATGCAATGCTATCGTCACACCATACTCATGCCTCGGCTCACTAACCCACACTGGCACCTTGGCACTTGCTCAATTTATCATTTATTACGACCCGTGTAAAACGCATCAGGTCTCTTCATTTAATCACAACACTTCGTGGCCCGCGTTAAAACGCATCAACTGGCCCAGTGTCTCTAGCCCGCGTCAAAACGCATCAGGCGCAACACCGATCTCCTCACGAACCAGAGCCCACGTAAAACGCATCAGGTTGGTCGTCTTCCGGACGTACCGGGCATCGTCCCGCGTAAAACGCATCAGGACGGCACACCCCGCGTAACACGCATCAGGGCAAAATTGTGATCACACATACACACAATCAATTATTATCTGCACCCCGCGTATCACGCATCAGGGCATTTAGGTGATCACATGCTCATGGCGGGCACGCATTCTCGCACAATTCATCACACGCCTCGTTCCTGACATTCACTATGCGTGCCATGAAATGCAAAACAATGCAACATGAGCATCAGCACAATTCAAGCATTCAGTTAATTTCATGCCGCAACAATCGTTCACTGGCCAATTAATACCATGTGGCTCAATTCCACAATGTGCAATTCAATAATCCAATCAAGCCATCATATGGCCAATCACACTCCGCACAAGTCGGCCACGCAGTCACACGACATGGCATTACTCAATTTCCCAACAATTGGGTACAGAAATCAACCAGTCAATCAACCCGGGCATACCCAGCAGTCCAATCACATAATCCCCGATTAATCTGTGCTAGTCCAATAATTATTTCTAATAATCCCACTAAATTCCTTAGACTTAATTTCCAACGATCGATCCTTAATCCAGTTCGAATTACACACTGGTACTACCTAATCCAGTTCAGACTACACCGATAATACCTAAGCCAACATGCCGAACACAATTATTCACCAAATCAACGAATTCAACGGATCCTTGGCACATTCAATATATTTCCACTTTGGTTCAACGAATCCCACATTCATTCGCACATTCATTCCAAGGTAGTTCAATGCGTTAAAGGCCCGCCCTAGGCAAATCCATCTCAATAGTTGTTCTCACCACTTCGGGGTCATTCAATAGGATTTATACACGTCCTAATCATCCCCTAAAAATGCCTAAATTCTTGTCATTAGTCCATTATTCTTAGAATATTCAACTTGGGCACAAATTAGGCATTTTCGGTACTGAATGAACAGTACCAGGAAAAATTAACATTTAGGCACTAAACCACCTTTAAACCATCTCATTAAGGCCTAATCACCTACCCCAAACATCCAACCACCAAATACATATAATTAAGCCTCAAATGAGCTTAATTAACACTTGAATTGTCTAATTTCAAGCCTTGAATCATTGAATTCAATTAGTGCAAAACTTAGACATATATGCACATTTTCGGTACTTTGTGAACAGTACCAGAACAAGGGCTGTTTTGAACACTAATCCACACTTAAATAACCTCATTAAGCCCTAATGACCTATCATAATCATCCTACACCCAAATAAACATCATTAGGTCCTAAATGAGCTTAATTAACCCCTAATTACCCCCTAAGAACACAATTAGACTAATTAAGGGTTTAGGGGTTTATACTCGCCTATTAGTGACTCGGGACGACGGGAACGGGCGGTCGATCACCGACGCGCGGTAAGGATCGATGGCGGCGTTCCGGGTGCAAGCCGGCGGTCACGGCGACGACGGGAACGGCGATTTGCTGCTGTTTTCTTCTGTTCAGAGCTGGAAATGAGACTGTGGTGGCTGTTTAAGGGCGAAAATGGTTGCTGGTGGTGCGGGACGGTGGCTGGTGGCGACCAGCAGCTCCAGATGGTACTGTTCCGGCGTGAACAGTACCAGGACGTGCAGAATTGTGCACGGCAGAACAGAAATGGCGATGAAGAGAGGAAATGGGAGGGAGCTCTCAGCAGATCAGCAGAATGGAAGAGAGAGAGAGAGATTTCTTGTCAAATATGAGTCAAATTTGGTCTTAGTGGAGTCCAAGTGTCAAGATCTAGGCCAATTGGACAATTTTGCCCTTGATCCAAGGGCTATCCTTCCTTCTCATCCAATAATTTAGGGGTAAAATGGTCATTGATCCTTAACCCAAGCTGACCAGACCTGGTTTAGCCCTAACTCACCTTGGTTAGTCCCCTAATTAAATCCAAAATTCGGAATTACCAAAAATGGGTCCAAGGGCATTTTGGTAATTTTTCGGTCCCGGGTCAAAATTCCAATTTTCGCACACACGCGTTCCATATGTGCGTGGCCAACATAATATGGCGTCGGAATCGCGAAATTCACTTTTTAAGTCCTCGAAAACTGACTGCAAAGTTTCAGGAATAAAATAATATTATTTTTTTCCAATTTTTGTCGATATTCCACTTTTTGGCCAAAACCACTCTAAATGTGCGTGGCCACCCCAAAATAACATTGGCCACGAAAAATAACCTCAAACGGCCTCCGAATCCGGCCTCGGTGCCCACAGGGGCAAAACCGTAATTTCTCACCCCCGGACCGAAATTCCAATTTTCACTCGTACTAACCCTAAACGTGTGTGGCCAGCGTAATATGACGTCAGATTCCCAAAAACAGTCTCTTAAGCCTTCGAAAATCGACCTCGAAATCAGGGCTCAATTCCGTGAACAAAACTCGCTAAACTTTCAATTTCAGGGTCTCTCACTAACGGGCGGCTGTTTAGGAGTTACGCGTATCGACCTAGGGCTATCCATATCGTAATGGTCTCGATCATTGAGAGAATGAGAAATTATCATTAGTTCCAGAGGTCACGATCGCTCGGTTCAAGTTCAAGACTGGTTGGCCACGTGTACTTTCGGTCTTGCAGAATCACCTGCGATCCGATGGTACATCATTGGCCTTGGCCAAACCAGATCCGTTACCTTTCCTAAGATCGGTCCATACTGATTCATAATATTCTCTCGTCATTTCTCGAGATCGGTGCCCAATTCACGATCGGGTCCCTGGTCCACGTACCATTTTCCTAGTTAGCCATACCCCATTGGTTAGTATCCCGAGAGTGATCAGCTCTGGGCGAGACTTACTAAAATGAAATGCGAAATATGGTCAATTTATTGATCCCGGAATTACATCGAAATTCAGGCTGTTACATGTAGCGTGGAGCTACAATGTAAGTTCTCAATTTCTTGGCGAGATCACAATTAGATATTTAAGGATGCCAATCTCTTCTTCTTGTTGATGATGTTACTGATGATGCATGAGGTTGTTCTTGTTGTGGGGTTACTTGCAAAAAGCAAAAATGGTGTTGGTAGGGCGATAGATTTGTAACTTGATTGTGCCTCTATTTTCTTGCTTCCAATTTGATTGCAGCTGTGCTGCTGCTGCCCTCGCCCATATCGGGTGAGGTTGCAACGGATCTCGCCAGCAAGTGGCAAGGGCCATGGCCCTCACTTGCTCACTGGTGACACTCACCATCTCTCATTCTATGGTCTGGTTCAGCAGAGGAGGTGGCAACGGTGTCTGGGCCAACTTCGCTCGAGTCCGAAGAGGCATGTCCATCGACCCCTAGTCACTGCCAACGTAATTTCTTTCTCCCCTAATTGTATTTTGCATTTTTTTCTTCAAATTTCTATTTGAAAGACATTTTTGATTTGTTTTGTGTTTATTTCCTTTTAATTACACGTGAGATGCTTGCTCGATGACTGTATTTGAACATAAACTTCTCAATGGAAATCTATAAAGTGCATAGAGAAAGGAAGAAGCTCGCACTACATGGTTGGAAAGCTTCTACAAGACAAGTACTGGAATTAGGAAATTTAAAATTAAGAAAATAAGAACCCAATTCGAAAGATCTTCTTCGAGATCCGATGAGCTTCTTGTGATTTGTGATGTCTTTTGATTCTTGCTCACAATTTATTGTCTGCATTGAATGTGCTGAGAGCTGTTCACAAATTTTTCCTATAATTTATGAGCTGTTCCTTCATAGGTCCCGTTCTTCTCTAGCTACGTTTAATAATTTGGTCAATGGACCCTCCATGACTCAATTTTCAACATCCTTTCCCATTTCGAGTCAGTTGATTGTGACCACGCGTCATCTACTCCACTTAAACTCATTCAATTGGAAGCTCAAGATACGAGTTCATCAGGCATTCCACTAGCGGGCTTGTGCATTGTACAATTATGACCCTCATGATTGATGAGTTTATTAGACATTCCATCGATAGACTTTGCCAATTATATTGTGTTTGCGATGGAGCAATTTACATTTGGGCTCAAATTTTGGGCCCCGTGTCAATGGGCACGGGCCCTAACCTCATATCAATTGCTTTTCTGTGTGGAGAGCTCTTACTGCGGCTCAACATCCCACTTGAATGACCAATCATTCTCATGTTAACACCAACAATTTCCATCATGAACTTCATAGTCCAATTATATGACTTATTAAGATGAATGTGACTACTCCTTTACGGATGTTATATACCGCAAGGAGTCACTTATATAACAAGCTTCTTCTTATAGTCAGATGCACCAATCACAAGTTTAGTAAATGGTTTAGTTATAGCACACTTTTAGATAATTACATAGCACATAAGCGACTCAACTTTGGCCTAGTAGAAATAGCTCGTAAGCCATAGCTAGATAACGGCTTGAGGACTATTGCCAAGAAGTTCCCAAACGTCAGCATCGAAAGAGAGCTCGTTCCAGCCATTTTGTCTCTCTTCCATGGCGAATTCCCGAGGCCAAGAATTTGCATCCGGCTGTCCTTCTGACCTATTTCTTGAGGTGAGGAGTCCTTCGTCGGGGCCGCTGTCGGTGAATAGATTTTCCCGCCATGCGCTCTCCTTGTCCTGACGAGACAACAGTGGAGATGGTTGTCCAGGGTTTTCACCTGGTGGAGTACATGAAGCCACTAGGGTAGCTTTTCCCATGAACCATGCTGAGCTCTTCGAGAAGGTCCAAGGTCGAGGCCTAATGACGTTCACTTTGGTGGCGCATTTGCCGGGCTGGCTGTCCTCCTTCGGCTTGTGATAGACGAAACTTTTAGCCAAACGTGTGTTCCAATAGTTCTTCACGTCGTTCGCGGTTCTTCCCGGAAGTCTGCCTGCAATCAGTGACCATCTGCATGAACTTGGACAGATTATCATCTAGAATATGAGAATTAGGGAAGGACGATTCATTAGATCAACATTGGTTACCATCAAAAGCAAAATGGAACACTTATATTTAGTTAGCATACACATGAATTGGAATAAATAATTCTGCATACCCTCTCGCGTCTTAAATTTTAATATGATCTAATATTTCTACGTGCCCACTTGTGTCTTGCTTGTTTAAGTTATCCGTGCAGGGCTTGGACTTATTTCGATTCCCATATCGCCAATTAACTCAATTGTCAAATCATAGTAACATTAAGGCTCCATTCGTTTGGCGGAAAATATTCTCCTTTTGAAAAATATTTTTCCGGAAGTCTTTTTCCTGGAAAATGTTTTCCCGGAACATAATTTTCCGGTGTTCGGCGACCAATATGAAAAAGTTTCGGAAAATATTTTTCGCCGGCGACCGGCGGCGGCGGCGGCCGGCGGCGGCGGCGGCGGCGGCGGCGGCCGGCGACCTTAGTGAAGAAGAAGAAGAAGCTCCGGAAAATGATTTCCGCTTTTGAAGAAGCGGAAGTCATTTTCCATAGACTTAGGCTATTTTGTGAGGGGGGAAGGAAAATATTTTCCCACGGAAAACGTTTTCCGCCCCCCGAATACCGGAAAACCCGGAAAATATTTTTCGAGAGAATATTTTTCGTCAAACGAACGGAGCCTAATAGAGGGTTAAATGACATCACACATGCTGATATTGGTTAAGAAAAGGACATGCACGTCCCTTAAGCTTGTAATTTCAGTGCTCTTAGCACATTGATAATTGATTGTGTATTTCTAATTTGAGATTGATTCATCTGTCCAAAACTTTGACTACGACATTAATATTTCATTTTATTTGCATGCATTTCTCAGTTGGAAAAAAACATCGAATCACTTTGGTTTTGTGTTTCTTCCTTTTGGTTACCTCAGGAATCCACAACTTCACGGCTGACAATTCTATAAATATATCTTATGCGCATAACTTTGGATATCATTTCAATTGTCTAACATATGCCACCTCTTGCTTTCCATTTTTTTCCCTAATCGAAAAGGCGAGCATGGACAACCAGATTGACTGCTCCCCTGTAAGCACTACCAAGAGAATTCCACGCCTCGCTACGTAATGTTCGAACCTAAGACTGTGAAAGGGCCTTCGTTCCGCCTAACTCATGGCCCATTGGTCTGAGGTAGGCCAGCCATGTCACCATAATTTCTCACTGAAGTGCTAGAAGTCCATACATCATTCCCCAAATTGAGATACAATAACTACTATTGCAAGTAGGTTTGAACTCGTGACCTTGCATCTGGAAATGTCAACGAGTATTACTAGACCATCTCTCACCTCTAAAGCAAGTTACTCATCTATTCTTAAGAGTTCTATTAATAAGTGTTTTGGAGCACTTGTTAATGATACCTTTCTGATTAGATATTCAAATTTTAAATACATTGATTGTATATATTACAAGGGCACTCGGTGAATTGGAAATTGCAAGATTTTCTTATCTAGTTGTTTATCAAGCATCATTGGAATATTTTTTTGACAAAACCCTTATATTAATTGAGATTAGTCAAATTTTGTGTTAAAATTGTCCGTAACGTTTCACTAAATACCCTTTAGGTAAGTTTGACTTTTTCCCCATCAAAATGTTCAACCTAAAGGGCCATAACATTAATTGGACACGACACTCGCTTCTAGATCAATCGGATCTGGCTGTCCAACCGTCTCTATTAGACAAGAAAGTTCTACAAGGAAAATTCAAAGACGCGAAAGTCTGAACTGTTTTGGCAAAATTGATGGCACATTTTCATTTTTGACAATTATACCCTCTATTAAAAGTCTATACGTTTGCTACACACACAAAAAAAAAATATGTGGCAGAAAATTCACTGATGGCAACACACAAGACCTTGAAACTAAATGACTCAGATTGCAGTACAATGTACAATAAATCGAGAGACTGTACATATGGCATTCCTCGGTCAAGTAATAGGCAATATTATCAATCTCATTCTCGGTTAGAGTTTTCTCTTCACGCTGTCTTATTAGTAATTAATAATTAACACTTAACTACTTATAACCTCTACTTTGACGGAGAATATGATATTTCTAATTTTCATCGATGATCATCAAAATTATTGAGTAGTTAATGCTAAAATGATGATGAATCAGCCATCATATATTCGGTTATCACATGACATCGGCATGACGTCTATTTAAATTTTACATCGATTTCATGTGGTTATCACATCTACACTTTGTCGATGAACTATAGTCAGATTTCGGTGAAATTTTATTGATTATGAAAAAAGCAATCGGCACATAAAAATCATCATGGCAAATTGCTCAATTCCGAACTCTATAAAGTGTTTTGAGGGGGAAAAAAACTCTATAAAGCGTAGCTCTCGCCAAAAAGTTCACCGTACAAAAGCAAGTCTTTCTTCATTGTCATCATAAATTTACGTGACCCCACGTAACGGCAAGAAGCATTTTTCGGGGGCCACTAAATATTTGTACATTTATTTTCACGAAGTTTCTTTCATTTTCCATATCAAGATGAGGCTGTCTGCCCTTTGCCGACGCCACTTGCTCTATTTGGTAGGTTTAATGCCAGCAAGATTTTTTTCCTTTTTTAAGTTTCTTTGCCTCAACATTTCAGCTAGGTTTTTGGTGCAAGTTCATTTCTGGAAAAGAAGTTCTTAAACAAGTTTATAACAAAAAAAGGATGGATTCGTACTACTCGCTCAACTAGACACATAATGCTAGACTTCATGTGGAGTTTGCCCAGTCAAAACGAGACACGTATACACTGACCAAGTATTTACTTATTCATCCGACAAATATTCTAATCTTGCTTTACCATTTTGGGAGTTGAAACATCTTCATCTAAAGATAATTGACATTTTCGTGGTTTATAATTACTTCCGTATTTCCTCAACCACTCATGTTTTGTGACGTGACAAACTTTAATACAATTAAAGTGTTTTGGACAACATCTAGTCTTCGCAAGTTTTAAGCGACTAGTGCCTAGTTGCTTCCAAAACCATAAATGTTCCGGTGACTAATGATAGCCAAATGACAAGCTAGTCGACTTCATGTAAAAGAGCATTTTCTACCGACAAGCTCATTGAATTCATTCCTAAACAATGTTGAATATAGTGAGCACTATGTTTTCTTGATATTGAATGTTACTGAAGGGCATTGATTTCCATTTTTTTTTTAAAAAAGGTAAAGACGTGTAGGTTGACATTCTTACTATTCCAAAACTCAGTTCTTATATTTTAGCAAGTGGCCCAACCTAAGATTATTCCTACAAGTTTTATTACGTGTTTGAAAGGTGTGCCTATTTCCACACGACATATGGCTAAAATGCTCTCCGACATAACGAGTTGACGAAAATAACCTCAAGGGAGCTAACGAATCAAAATCACAAATGAAAAGGGTGAAAGTTGCAATTTTATTGAGAATGAAAAATTCACACATTGTCATAAAAATTCAAGACTGTCCGCATTAATCCAAACAATCATATTTTATTCCACCACCTTGTGTCATTTTCCGTTTGTGTTTATACAAATTTTCATTTCTTATCAATGTGCTTAAACTGATTTCTATAAAGGTTTTTCTATAATGATTTTGAACTTTGTTTGTAATCTTTGTTAACTAGCATATATAACATATAAATTACAATTATAAAGAGTTCACAACTCTAACCAAAGACTTCCCCTAAAAACATTTGAACTAAATAATTGTATATTACAAGGAATTATTAGAGATTTAACTTTAGAGAGACATTGTAAAAAAAATATACCTTATTAATATTCTTTTAAATTAGAATTCCAATCACTAAATCTATTAGAATACTAGAATCTGAGATGATTCCCGTAAAAACAACGAACATGTAGACTACTCTGATTTGAACACAAAAGAAGAAGAAATAACAATATATGAAAATTTGACAAAAATCATTAACTTATTTATCTATATTAAAAGTATATTTTTCCTCTTTCATCAATGCCTAGCGATAGCTATTTTGGACTATTTAAATTTTAGGGCGTTTCTATATCAATTTGAAAAGTGGAAATAGCATGAGCCATATATAGATAGATATATTTATGTATGTATGTATGGATGTATGTATGTATATGCTCGATTTTAAATGGATATTTAAGCAGACGGGCTTCATATTCATGCACTCAAACAAGTCCTTCACGTCTCTTTTATACACGATATTTTCTTAACCCAGTCTTTTCTATCTTTTGTGATGATCCCGCCGGCGAAACTCACATTAGAAGACCCGAAGGAAATGGTCGAAGAGATGGATGATTTATTAGTGTTGACATGTTGACATCATGATGTATATGATATGCGACGAGTAACACGAACTTGGGAGAGCTTTACTCACCGATTACCAAGAAGCTTTTGAAGCCTGATGATCATGTCAACCTCGTCCTCTTGGAATGCCCCTCTCTTGATGTTGGGCTTCAGATAGTTCAACCACCTCAACCTGCAACTTTTCCTGCATCTGTTCAACCCTGCAAACTCAAACCCATTGATACATACTCTTATTGTAACAGCGAAGTAGCTCTCTCTCTCTCTCTCTCTCTGGGGTGATCAATTGTATACCTGCTCTGTGAGGGACTAGGTGCCAATTTCCTTCACCATATTTTTCCACGCACTTCTTCAGCAACACGTCCTCTTCCTCAGTCCATGCACCTTTTCTCACTCCTATTGCTCCCTTCATTGTCTCCTCTCTCTCTCTCTCTCTCTCTCGCGCTCGCGGACACACTTTTTTTGGTGCAGAAACAATTCAGGACCAAAGTATGAGCACGTGTTGAACGAAGGTTCACTTGAAAAAGCCATATATATATAAGCAGGAGATCAAAGTTCAGTAATGCCACCCACCTGCGCATGGCCGAGTTGGTGGGCGCTTTCCTTCCCTCCTTAGAGGTTCTGGATTTGAATCCCCGCTCGATTCCGTAATTTAAGTGGGGGGCCCTGGTGGTGGGTTGCTGGGTTAGTCTCCCCCGAGATATAGGCGCCCCGATTACCTGTGCGAGCTCGTCTCCGGGAAATGGTGACGGATTCTCAATTATAAAAAAAAAAGTTCAGTAATGCCCATCTGTCCAGATACATGTATAAAGTGTTGCGGGTGTCCGACCGAAGTGAGTGAGAGTGTGTGTCGTGGATGTCTAACATCCTCACACGACCATCTCCGAATTCCTGTGGCTCCAACGATGGCGAGAGTTTTCTGTCTCCATTCCAGTCAACTAACAGTCTAATTGGATCCTAGCCGTTGGAAGTGTGGTTCTCTGTAGGAGCTTTGACGGTGCTTTTGTCACCATGTGGAGTGGTTGTTCTTGCTCTTGATTAAACTAATCAATCCATTTTTTTTATAAGATTTGTCTACGATGCTAGAGAGACTTAAAAAGCTGAAGCTATGCCATCACTATGTTGTATGTCTCTGAGTTTCAATAGCAGCCGGGTTCACGGAGTGAAGATGCCTGAACAAACCATTTAACATCCTTCGAATAGACCTAGGTCATGCAAGGAGTCAGAAAAGTGGTTGATTTCTGGGTTGTTAGGCTTCTACTTTTAAGGGTTGCACTGTGAGTAGGAGGGGACCGTAGCAAGACATGGTGGTTTGGGTGACAAGTAAGGCCAGGTGCACAGGGACGGCAGGAGAAGTAGAAAAGACAAAATGATCGAATAACTTGGGTGAGTGACTAGTGACATAGGTCAGAGAGAATTAAGTTTAGTGGCGACCGACACTTTTGCATCAGAGGTGGCATGTCGAGAGAAGATGTTATGCAGACCTAGTTTGTATCCGAGTGATATCCGAACTTATCCTTTACCAGACAATAAACAGCTGGGGGGACTATGTCCCAACCTTGCGCCGATCTATAATTTCCATCCCAACCTCAAAATTAAATCCCAAAAAAACCCAACCTCTCCTCTCATTCTCTCTCTTTGATTCTCCCATCTCTCTTTGCTAAGCTCTATTGATGCACCCACAGTAGCTGCAAACTGCCACGCTCGGCTGCCCTAGCAAGCCATTGCAATACCGCCGACAGAATTACCAAAACGGTCCTAAACCTTTTGCGTTTGTGCCAATTCAATCCATCCAATCAAATTTGATCAGAAATCGCTGACATGGATGCCGGCTATCCTACGTAGCGCGGTTAGGCTGACGTGGACATTTTTAAATAAAATTTTAATAATTTGTCAAATCATTTATTTATTCTTTTCTTTTTCCTTTTTTTTTTCTTTTCTTTCCCTTTATTTTTTTGCTTCCATTCTTCCTCTAGCTGGTTGCTATACCTCGGCAATGGCCGGCAAGGTTGACCTCGCTAGCCACTGGGGAGGGTGAGCCTCACCCGCCCCTGGCAAGGTTTGCCCTCGCCAAATCCGACGAGGTTGAGCCTTGCCGTTGTTGGAAAGGTCAAGCCTCGCCCTCGCTGGCCATCGCCCCTTGCCTCTTGTCGCGACCTAAAATTTCTCTCAGGCTAATGGATTGTTAAGACTAAGCCTAACTCGGGCCCTCTCAAGCCCTACCAATTCGCAACTTAGGGTTTAAGTTTTTAACATGCAAAAGTTTTTATGCTTGGAGTCGCCACTAATCAATTTATGGTAGGTTGATTAGAAACCTAAATAAAACATAGGGAGATATGTTTTATTCCTACGAACAGAGATTCTAAGCCCGGGGACTTGATTACGCTAGATCGGTCTAACGCCCTTTCGGTACCTTTTCTTTTCAAAAATGTTTTGGCAGGCAGTTTGGATCCATTTCAACTTAGTTACTAACATGTGAGGTGTTCATGCGGATGCGCAAACCACCAATTTAACACCCAGAAAGCATTAAATAAATTGCAAGTTTGGAAGAATTACTTACCTGGAAGCAACGTAAGCATCTGCATTGTTAGCTAGAAAATCACATTGACACCCTAATATGATTTCTAATTAACAAGCAATTCACTCAATTTCTTTTTTTTTGGATTTTCACTTATTTAAATGAAATCTAGCCTGTATGTAATGACGTGCGAAAATGACATGTGATTAATGCAACCTAACATGCAAACTATATGTCATGCGACGACGTGACCTATTTCTAATGACAGGACGAATGATTATTTTTGGTATTTTCTCAATTTAAATTCGGAATAATAAAAATGCCTAAATTAAAATGCAAACTATGATGACTTAATCTACCCTAGCATGATTTCTTTTTAGGATTTTTGTTAAAATTCGAAATAATGAATAACCTGAATAATCTATTAAGATTAGAATATTACTTAATTTAAACTAGGAAATAGATCATCTCAAGTCCTAATTTAAATTAAATAACTACTCTATCTTCTAGATACATTTAGGATTCCTAGACATGCAAAAACTCTAATTCAAATCTAATTAATATTTTTTTGAATTTTCTGTTTATTTGAAAAAGGAAAGCAATTAAATAAACATGGATAGCAACCACATTCAAAACGTCCACAGGATCCGCCATATTTGTTTCAAACTCGGATTAGGCACAAAAATCAAACTATCGGTCATATCTATAGGGTTATAGATATCGACGAAAAGCCGATTATTCAAATTTGGACAGCGGATAAAAATCATTATCGTACCCAAGTGGTTATGGATAGGATAATAATTTTCCGTGCCACCGAGTATCGTATCTCATGGTTGAGATCGGATAGTCGTCCCGACATGTTGTCAAGTTAGGAAAGTTTCCTAACTTTGGGTGATTTTTAAATATTTGCGGATATCACATACGCACCCAAAGATTAACAAAAATCCACAACAGATAACAATATCACCCAAATCATGTAATGAAATATTCGAAACGATACCAGATAAGATCGTTACCTAATTTGCGGATAGTTTCCAAATTCGAACTTAACGGAATCGGGATTGGACTCGGACGACGGGCAACGCGGCGTCGGCGCGGCAGCTCACGGTGGCATCCGGCGACGGGCGCGGTGGAGCGCGCGGTGGTGGCGGGACCAACGGCAGCTTAGGGGCAGCAAGATGGCTCTTTGAGGAGTGCCCACGACGAAGTTCAATAAACCAGGGTCAAAAAAAAAGTTGGGCGTAGCAAGATGGTCTTCAATATTCCTGGATTAAAAAATATGGTCAAAGAGTCAAGTAATGAAGCTTTGACCCACGTTGAACTGGACAAGCCTGGGATTTGTCGGGTATTGCTGGATTCGGATGAAAATCACCCAGAAATCTTGATCTCGCCAACCAACGATTGCTGGGGGTGGCTCACTAGTATCAGATCTCGCGGTGAGCGTTGGACTCGTATGAACCGTCACGGATTAATCTGCAAAGCAGAAACAGTGAGGACTTCACGGGGGGGTTTCGTGGCTGGTCTTTTATGCGGTAGCTGCTCGGCAGAGACTTCTCGGATCAGATGCAGCAGCTTCGTAGGAGGGTGCAGCAAGGTGAGGTGTCAAGAGCACAGAAGCAAAGCTTCACTTGAATCCAGACTTCGCATGCATGAAGTTATGAGGTGCTGATGAAGAACTGGCGTGAATTTCTTCTCTCTAGTGCTATATCTTTGTAAAAAAACTGCGACCCCCACTCTCCTCTCTCTTCTCTTCTTGGACGTGCTGCACCTCCTCTCTCTTCTTCTTCTTCTTTTTTTTCTTCTCTCACTTTTTCTCTCTGAAAATTCTGATCTGAAAAACTGTGTCCGAAATTGTGTGTCCTCCCTAAAATCCTGACCTAATGATGTATATATAACACTAATCTAGGTCAATTAGATGGGCTCTCTAGTCCTAATGGGCTTAGGCTTGGGCTTAGATTTTAATTTAATTTAAATGGGCTGAATTAATTAAGGATAATGGGTTGAATTAAGCTCAAATTAAAACAACCGAGCCCGTTTGACTTGTAATTCCCGGCCCTTGCATTCCAAGCGAGCCGAGTCCCATTCGATGAAATTTAAGCTCGTTCGTTACCGCCGGTCCGATGCAAAATGCAATTAATCTAAAATGAATTTAAACTATATGTTATGCAACCTAAATATTTTTGTTTAGGGGTTAAAAATTTAATCCCTAATTTTCTATACAAATTACGACTAAATGGTCGCTAAAATTTAGGTGTCAACACCTCTGCCTGGTCGCTGAGGTCCAATGATCAACTAGAGGAAGAAAGGAAGAAAAAAGAAAGAGAAAGAAAAAAAGGAAAAAATAAAGAATAAATAAAGAATTTGAAAAGTAATTAAAATATTATTTAAAAATATCCATGTCAGCACTGGCCGCACCACATAGGATGGCCAACGTCCATGTCAGTGATTTCTGGCCAAAATTGACTGGATGATTGAATTGGCACAATTGCAATAGTTTTAGAACTTTTTTGGTAATTTGCTTTAGTGTTGCCACTCCCAAATTTGCATGGCTGTTGTCATTCCTTTCTTCCCTTGGCTCAAGACAAACATGCCCTCTTTCTCCCTTACCCTTCATTCTCTCTCTTTCGAGTCACAATCACTGTTCGTGTCGTAGTAGCCATCGATTGTCCTCATCAATAGTGGCAACGAGCTCGAGATGAGACTAAAGGCTCATGTATGCTTGACACAAGCCTAGATCTCATGTCTAAGGCTCCCTAGATGATGAATCAAAGTTGACCTTGTTATGGCTATAGATATAACCTAGAGGGGGTGGATATGTTATATAATGAAACTTGATATATTTTCGTGGAATAAAGAGAATCAAATTGATATATGCCAAAACAGTTTGATACATGCGAGAATGAACTAGTTATGTCAAGTGCGTTGCTTCTATCAGATAAATATAGAAATAAATAGAGAGATAGA